GGGGGGGGGGGGGGGGGGGGGGGGGGGGGGGGGGGCGACGAATATAGCTTGTTGAAACATTGACTCCTATGGTGCGCGCCACTTAGTCACAACCTCAAATGTGCACTGGCCTTGGACAGGAAGCGCCCGTGGGCTGTAGGGTGTACCACATAGCGCATAGCATAGTATTGCGCGGAAGATGTTTATTACAAAACAACATGGCCGAGAAACTCCTCCGCCGCTGCCATCAGTCCCGATAAGTGGTGTCAAAGTCGAAACGACACAAATTCTGGCTGCCAAAGATGCACAAACATGGGTGAATCCTCCAGACTATATACCTCCCATTCCCAAAACCCTAGCTCGTCTCTTTGATGTTTAGATACGGCTTTGAGAAATATATTATGTAATACTTACCATTTAGATACATGTGCACGTGATGTGGCCAATCTTAGGAGACCATCTTAGCCAATTTTGACTTTCATGAAAATCCGTTTAGTAGTACTGGTCCTAGCACGATTTAGGGCATTTCTAATAAAGGAATAAGTATTCGGTCAAAGTCTGAGCGCCCCAGAAAAATGGCACAAAATAGGTGGCCTCTAAGTGGCGCGTAACATACAAAGCAGAACCCAGCGCGGCAATCATACATTCTCGCAGTAGATCTGCGATCAGATTCAACGACTCACCGCATGGACATAATTGCTTACGGATAGACGGCCATCTGCGCACGCACGTTCATATCAGGGACAGAACGCCCTGGCGAGGTGGTATCAACATGGCCGCCTCAGACATATTTAAATCCCCCATAATTTACTTTCAGGTTAGCATGACGATAAATTTGTACAGAACTCCTGTCTGGCATAGAATGTCGTGGCACGATCGTTGACTTGTGAGACATATGCGGTAAGGCCGTTGCTCAATCCGGCAACTCACGATCGGACATTTCTTACCTCATGACGTCATGCGCACTTCTAGTAGCATTCTGTCGCACACGTATAAGAGGCGGCGAAGCTCCAGGCGGCGTGGATTCATACCATGCCCCAGTTCTCCTAACCCGCACTTCGAATCAAGCTATTCACATGAAGTTCGACTGCATGGCTTGAAAGCAGGCGGATATTGTACTCAGGTCGATTCCAGCTCCCGCAAGCAGCCTGAAAGATGGCAACGTACTAAAGGGAAAGCGCAAGGCACGACCACGTAGGCCGCGGAATCGCCCATGCTTGCTCACAGCTGACGATGGCGATAGGTGTATGGTGCTTCATCAGCTCCATATGGCTTTCTTTGCCTATGACAGTGAGGCTCGGCCAAGCGATGTCTGGATTGGCATGCATAAGTACCGAAGCTGCTGGAGCGTTGTGCTGTCACGGTCGCGTCGGTCACGAACAGGGTCATGCGGAAGACAACTATTGATCGATCGCGCGCTTGTGGCGTCAGGTTGCCATTGGCAAGCGCGACGCACGTGTGTCTGCCCGCCACCTCTTCCATGTTGACCGCGTTCCTGGCTTCTCTAAATGGGTCACGCTATTTGGAATGGCTCCGGCGGGCCTCTATCTCTTCCAGACAGCTCATATAAGGAGCGCGACAGCCCTTCCTAGCCTGTGCTCCTGCTATCTTGCGGCCCACCATGTCGCTCGAGAAAGCTTCAGAGTCAAGTGTGCATGCCCTTGCTACGCCCAGCGAGCATGGCGCAGATGTGGAGGCGGTTCCCGAGCTCAAACGCGCTGCTAGTCGCAAAGCATCTCTCAGCGCGTACATGACCATCGCTGCCGCGGCCTTCGGACTCATCTCGGATGGATGTGAGCGCAGTAATGGAAGTTCATTTGGAATGCAAGCTGACCTACACAACCTCAGACCAGAACAATCTGATGACCATGACAAATGTGTGTACTTGCAGTGGTCCTTCATGAGGAGGTGTGGTCATGACAGCCGATCGCAATAGGTTGTGTTCAAGAAGATCTGGCCAAAAGAGTACACATCTTCAGTGTCTACTCGCGTCTCGAATGCGCTCCTGGTTGGTACGTTGGTAGCGGAACCTGGATATTCAAAATCTGATGAATTGGACGCAGGAGAGGTCATTGGCCAGGTTTTCGTCGGCCTCATTTGCGACCGGGTCGGGCGTAAAGCTGGGCTCGTCATTACGACAGTGCTCATTGTCATTGGTGGGATTCTCGCGACCGCCGCTCACGGCGCTCACGGGAGCCCACAAGGTCTGTTTTGGTTTATGACGGTTGCACGAGGTATCACTGGTGTGGTCAGTCTCTTCTCCTTTCCCCCGAGACAGCATGTGCTTAGGATGCCGCGACGTGTAGGGTACGGGTGGGGAGTATCCCGCCTCCTCCACGAGTGCGAGTGAGGCTGCTAATGAGAAGATGATACGGAATCGAGGACCAGGTATTCTTTATCCCCCCTTCACACAATACCTCCAGCTCACAATCGTCGCGCACGCAGTCTTTATCATGGTCACAAACTTTGTCCTCAGTGTGAGTTCGGTTTTCTTCCTTCGTGACCTTACCTGAGCGCCGCAACTCATGTAAACAGTTCGGCGGTCCCCTCGCGGTGTCCGTATTCCTCATCGTACTCTCTGCGGCGGGCCAAAACCATCTCAACACGGTCTGGCGTGTGTGTTTCGGTATTGGGATTATCCTCCCGCTCACTGTATTCTACTTCCGGATGCGCATGCTAAGCCCGAAACTGTCAGTCATCTGTGGACTTTGCTCGCGAATGTTATTCGACTGACCACGAGATAGGTTCCGCGAGTCGGCCATAAAGCGTAAGCAAAACCAGATGTAACACTGGATTCCCTTGCTAACCGTGTCCGGCGTCCGGCGAGGCAGGTCGTGTGCCGTATTGGCTGGCTGTGAAACGCTATTGGCGTCCACTAATCGGGACTTGTGGGGCATGGTAAGTCTATAAGCTATGTTCGTTGTTCTTGGATGACTTTCTGACTCGCCATGTACTCACACGACAGGTTCCTGTATGACTTTGTGAGTGCACATCAGCGTATCTTTCTGTCAAATGGATGTTCATCTCGCGTGTAGGTCAGCTTTCCTAACGGCGTCTTCTCTGGCACGATCATATCGAGTGTGACCAAAAGCGGCGACATCCGCTCGACGGCGGAGTGGCAGCTACTGCTGGGTGCAATCGCGCTTCCTGGTCCGCCTTGCCGTGTTCAGTCGCTCAGTACATCGCTGACGCATCATGGTTTACTTGCAGGCGTCTTTGTTGGCGCAGCTCTTTGTAACCCAATTGGGAGACGGAACACCGTAAGCGTTGTACCCTCCGTTGATTTGTGATCACTGACTTACATGGATTCCAGATGATGATTGGCTTCTGCGGATATCTCGTCTTCGGTATGTTGCCCCCCTGGGCAAATATTCTCAGTGTCTAACTTTGCATAGGTCTCATCATCGGTTGTGCGTACGAAAGAATCACGAAGATCGTGCCCCTCTTTGTGGTCTTGTGCGTGTCTATATGTTGTATAATTGTTGCGGGCGACCGACTCAGTCATACAACCCAGTTACGGCTTGATGCAATCCATGGGGAACTTGGTGAGTACGATTTTCATGCTAGCTCTCATTGCAGCGTACTGAAGCTGTTTGTTATTGCGATCAGGGCCCAGGTAACATGCTGGGCCTCGTCAGCGCGGAGTAAGTGTTGTAATCCACTGCCTTAGTTTCGCCTACTCATGCGTCTATTGCAGGTCATACCCCACCGCCATTAGGTATGTGCCTGTGGCATGCACCACACGATGTGGGTCACGTCAATTCTTTTTGATAGGGGAACGTGCTACGGCCTCTCAGCCGCCATTGGCAAGACAGGCGCAGCCATCGGCACACAAGCATTCACGCCCATCCAGAACAACCTGGGCAAGAAGTCGGTCTAATGCCCATCATGCGTACCATTCCCCGCAGCACTGACACACTGCTCGCCTAGGTGGACGTTCATCATCGCAGCGATATGCGGTGTCGTCGGTGTGCTCGTGACGTACTTCTTCGTGCCGGACAAGACGGGCATCGATCTCGCGGACGAGGACGAGAAGTGGCTGGCGTACCTCGCGGCGAACGGGTGGGAGGGCGACGTCGGCGAGGAGGATGAGATCGTGCTGGCGGGCGACGCTAAAGAGGATGACCGCGATAGTGCGACGGATGAGAAGGCGTGAGCGGCCATGCGAGAACATGAAGTCACGATATTAATGCTATGTATTCAAACTGTATTGAGTGGCCGCGGTAAGGGCGACAGCAATTCTGTAAATAGGTTTGCTTTCTAGGTGTGACCCCGTGCTATCCTTCCTGTAAGCGAGCTCATTTCGAGTTTAGCGCAAGGTATCCCACATGCCCTCAGACTAGATGATCACTACGACGGCTTGTTTCTGCCATAAGGCTCCATTATAGTGACAAATGTCTGGTCCGTCTCGGAATACCTCTTACCAGACATCGGTATTGTAGTGATTCGGGTGTCATAGGGGCATGCTCTATGATCCTTCCATATAACCTGCGCCGCATGAATTCAAACCCGAGCGATATGGCGGTCTTAACGCTGGGATGAAGGTCAGCAACATCGCGTTTGGATCTGGGCGACGAGCCTGCCCCGGGTACTACTTTCCGGAGGGTACCATGTTCGCCACTGTGGCAACCGTTCTTGCGATATGCCGACCGTTGATGAGCACGGATGTCAGGTTATCCCTGAAGTTAGCCTCGCGTCGGGAGCAATCGTGTCAGACCTTCAATCCGAAAGCGAATGAGTGCTGTGCGGCGCCAACGGAGATGCATTCAGCTCCCCGGAAAATGTCAAGTGTGCATTCCGCCCGCGACAAGGACGCATGAAGGACATCCTCGTGGAAGGCATCGAGACAGAGCACAGGTCGCCTCTCAATGCTGTCCTCATGTCCTACGTATAATGCATATATGTCTGAATGTTTCCACTAAAGTATTGGCAAGACGTTGTGACTGCAATAGCGCAACATTCATACGGAGGAACATGATACACTTTTTTCTGACTGCTACTCCGAAGTCGCAGGACACAAGTGTCCCTTCAAACACGTACCCACCGGTGGTGACAGTGCAGGTATTTTGAATCATGCTGGCCGCGCTGTCGACGAGCAACGTTCTAGCCTGCTCTGATCGAGGACGAAATTGACATCTGACATCTAGAGGAGAACTGCACAGCACTCAGTCAGCGCGTGAATACCACCAAATAGCAATGACTTACGTGACTATTCCCGTTGTATATCTGACATCAGGAATAATCTCTTGCCCATGCTCGTCCACGACAGGTACTATGTCGCACGTTGCCAGAATGGTCGCCACAACCGAAAATATGGACCTTTCGGCGAGATGGAATCCCGGACATGCACGTCGCCCAAATCCAAATGCGAGGTCGGTCACTTTCTTCATCTCAGTGTCCAGACCGCCATAGCGCTCGGGTTTGAATGTGTCTGGTTCGGGGTGGACAGCTGGGTCGTGCAGCATGTGCCTGGGTGGGCGTTTATACCATAAGCACAACGAGATGAGCAGACCTCTTAGACTCACCATATGTTCGGCAAGACTATCGAGCCTTTGGGAAGGAGGATTTCACCATGGATGTCGTCCTCAGTGAGAGCGTGTACAAAGCCTATCAGATACGGAATTATTACAGTGCTCAGAGGGCGTGCGCGGAAGGGTGCACCTAGAGGGGCAATTGGAAGCCAGCGGTATACCTCAGTGACGATGCTTCGAACATATGGTAGTGACGATCTGTCTGATATCTCCGGAAGCCGCTTGCTCCCGACTACGTTGTCGATCTCGGCCTGTGCCTTCTTCTGCACGTCGGGGAAGTGGAGCATGGCCAGAATGAATGAAAGGATCGTCGAGACATTCTGGAACGTGCGACTGTCAGCGTCAGGTCCATACAGGCTAAGGCAAGCCCACTGAATCCAGGCCGCCTCCTAGCACAGAGGCTGCGGCCCACGTAAGCGACTCCTCCATCTCAGAGGTCATTTTGCCCTCCGCCTGTGCTAGGACCGATGCGCATAGATTGGGCATGCGCGCCGTGCCATTTTCCTAGAGAGAAAGAGCATCGATAATGTGAACGAGGCCGAAAGAAGTTTCATACAGAATTCTCTTTGCTCCACTGGTACATCGTCCGGTAGTGGGTATTGAGCAGTTTGCGCCGCGCCTTTGCGGTCGTGAGGAATGTTGCGCCCGGCGTCCATAATGGGAGATACTTGACTGATGTGTGCTTCATCAGTAACGGCAATCCATATGCCAAACAGACAAACATCATTTACGCGGGGGAATAATGACCACCAACCAAGCGCCAGGTGAAACCGTCGCGAGAAAGTTGTCCATAACTTCATATGCCCTCGCAATGATTGGATCCTCCGCACCCTTAACCGTGTAGCCATACACCACGAGCATGATGATGCTCGCAATATTCCTATACGGCATCAAATAGTATACTTTTGGGTCCGCGTTTGCACCATGATCGAAACAGGACCTTACATCTTGATCTGACTCTCCAGCGACCCGGGGTCATCGATGACTCCAAGGACAAGTCGACGGGCGGCTGCTTCCTGGATGTCATAGTACTGTCGAACGGCGGCGGCGCTGAGGTCCTGCGATATGAATCGTCGCTGTTGTCGGAATTCATCTCCGTAGGGTTGCAATATTAGCGACCTATCATATCCTATGCTGCAGGACGGTCAGCAATCATGATGTATTTGCCACGCCCTGCCTCAACGAGAATGTACTGACAGGTCTCCCGCCATCACCTGGACAATGCATGAACACGAGCTGGCTATTGCGCGCAGCGACACCGTACGTACGAGATGAGGTCTCCCGGAATAGATCACTGAACGCTTGTCGAGCAGTTCCCGCGCGACCTTGGCGCTATTGATCACGATGGTGTGCTGTCCGAGGGCGTCAAGGTGGAGTACATCGCCTGTGAATATGATGTTACGTCTCTGTTATCTCCATGAGAAGTACAGACGGCCTACCGTATACCTGTGCCCAGCGTGAATACGTGAGCCACGGATGGACTTGCGGGACCTGGAGAGTGTTTCCTATGAAAGGCCAGCGGAATGGGCCAGGCGGCATGGACCGCCGCTTGTAGTAAGTAGACAGTTCGCTGAGTACGAGAGCGGCGAGAAGTGTCACCGCGGCGACAGCTAGCGTAGTGCGGCTCATGTAAGATGCGACATGCAGTGGCCCTTCCATTGCCTCTAGTTCTGGCATGTTCAGAAGATAGGTTCGGCGGTGCAAGGGCAGACACAATACGTAGCAGAGATGGTGGGAGATATAAATACCAGAAGACAGAATGCAAAGGAAGTGAATAAATCACGCAGGAGAGCAATAGGGTAAGGTTCCGAAGAGGTCTCCTATCCATTGTCAGAAGACAACGGCTAACTGACCTTGGGGCGCGATTTGGGCAGCCAATCGATACCATGCTCTCTGCATAGTAGACACGCGACAGGGTCGGTGATCCAACTCAAGGAAACACTCGTCCCACTATGGATGGAACTCTTGCTGAAGGTGTAGCAGTACTATGTATATGCAGCCAAATGATGTTGACGAATAGCACCTTAAATGACCAGCTACCATGACAAGAGGTCAACTTCATTGCGCTGAGTCGATTTTCTCCCTACAGCAGGGTCGCGAATGAGATCAGTCGTGGTGCGTAGTGTAAACGCCGATGACTGCGAGAATTCGGGAGCGGATTACCGAAATGTAGCAGATTCCTAAGGAACGCCGCGGGATATGATCATTTGCGCCGCGGACAGAGGATTCTAAGCCATATTGATGAGCTAGACTAGGATACGTCGAGGAATGCGCACTCACTACCGCATGCGATCCATGCCTTATCCGGTTCAGGTGCGCAATGAGGCTGGTGAAGAAGTGAGTGAGAAGCGTGATACTTGCAACTGGTCGACACATGCGGCTGCTCAGTTCTAGGGTGCACTGTTAAAGGAGGTATGGGGACGCAATCTGTGTGAGAGGCCAATCGAACAGCGATGACATAGGGAAATAGATTCAAATGAAAGTGACCGCCATGATCGCGCTCAGATATACTTGCGATAACAATGGTGACTATATGTGCGGTAGGATGTGACTACACACGAGGCACGATACAAAGAAGGACATGGCAGCTGGCCACCGTGCCGCGCGGATGGTATTTGGTTAGAGGAAGGCAGGATGGATGTAGCCAGCGGCAGGGAGCACTCCTGTAACTTATGTCTGGTTAATTATTCCAAAGTGTAGTCAAAGGGCCATGCCTAATCTCAAAGTTCCTTCAAAATGAACCGAAATTCTAATAAAAGCCCAAGGGGCAGGCGCTTTGTTATTCCTTCAATTTGTTGACTCCCACCCTAGTGCATCAATCGGTGCCTGTGGTCCCCAAATTCAGCTCGATTTCCGTAAATAACTTCCTGCAAGAGCAGATCCTCAAATTGAGCCTCTGATAATTTGAAGCTTCATACATCCGACATAAATTATGGTTCTGCGCACCCAAGGGGCAGACGCTCCGTTGATTTCTCATATCAACTCTAGTGGTGGTGGTGGTGCAATCGGTGACCGGGATCCCCGAATTCACTAACTCGCTCGATTTCCGCAAACAACCTTCTGCAAGCGCAAATCCTTGAATTGAGCTTCTGCAAGTTTTGAGCGTCATATACCAAACATACATTTGGTCTCTGTGCACTTGAAATGTCGGTTCGACAGACAAGGCTTCATGGGTGAAGAATACCAAGTGCAGCGCTTGGGCGCTCGTCGCATTCTTAGCGCCCATCTCGTCCTGAGCCCCATTCCATCTTGCAATCTAATCAGATCTGTCACTTCATACTTTCTCAGAAGTACTACATATACCGCGAAATCCCCACCTTCAGCATGAATTAAGTATTCTGCGATAGCAATGGGTAATTAGCTGTATGACATTATGCAAGTTATCTGATTCGATATATACTGCAAGTCTTTTCGTGACCACTGTTTATGTTCTTCTCGCTGCGATGAGATCCGACTTCTCTGATATTCCAGTCAGTGACGTCCACCATGCGACTTTGAGGAATGGCTTCAGGCGACTGCCTCAATCTCAATAGGAAAGCCAGTGTGTCAGTTGGCGAGGCGAAATACGATACTCAAATCGTCAGTGTACTGCAGTGTGGATGATCTAGTCAAAGATAAGGAAGAGGCCCCATACAATCGGTGACCGGATCCGGCGCTTAGCCGATCAGGGCGCCTGCCCCTTGGAAAAGCCAAGCCTACTCCCCAAGCCTTGTGCTTGTACCATGGCATCGAATGATAGACTCCCCCTAAAGGTTTGACAGGCTAGTGAGTGGTTCGTACACTCAGTGCAAACGGGAAAAACTAGGCCAAAGAGCTTGAGGTCAACAGGAAGGAATTTGTATTCTGTGATCATTGGTCATGGTCTCGTGCAGGTCACTGGCTAGGGAAAAACACCGATGCCGTAGCACCGCTATCACTGGCAGTGACTATCCATGACTCTAAATCAGTGATCTCTCACACTGAGACGTTATAGTCAGCTTCGTGATATTCTCTCTCCAATTCTGCATGATGACTGACAGGGTCCAACGAGAGGGTAACAATTTTGACGCTAACGCGGCTGTGCAGGATGCATTCAGGGAGATGTACACGGGTCCTAGCGAGCGCCTGCAGGTATGTCCTGCGGGGTGTTCGACGTCGTCGATGGGCTCGACTGAGTGTATACACAGCACCTCATTCCCGCATTGATTGAGATGGGCGCACATACAATCATGCAGCTCCAGTCTAGCAACATCGATATACCCGACTCATACCTGATGTCCTATATTGATGTTCTGGACACAGTAAGTGCCGCCAATCATTGTGGCATCCCATCCTTCTCAAAGACGCGTAGGTTCTGCAGATTGTCGATCCACCCCCCGAATCGGCCATCTTCCAGGACTTGTTGAAGACACTGATGAAGTTATGCGGGCGGGCTGACCAACTGCCCCGGTCATGCTTTGTCCCCTCGAAGATGCTCACCAAGGTTGGCTCGTATGCGACGTTCCACGGGGGATTTGCCAACGTGTGGCATGGGAGCTATGATGAACGTGATGTAGCATTGAAGGAACTGCAAATTTATGAGCAAGATGATCTGAAAGCTATTTGCCGCGTAAGCCTTCTCCCCCCTATATCTGCGTGAGTAATATCGCTCAATGGGCTGGCAGGTCTTCTACAGAGAGGTTTTAGTTTGGAAGTTCCTCCGACACCCGAATGTACTCCCTTTCGTTGGCATCAATGAGAGCATCTCTAGATTCTGCATGATTTCACCTTGGGCAACTAACGGTAACATCACTCAATACCTGAAGCAAGACTGTATGTGCGATCGAACCAAGCTGGTAAGTGACTGATGTTCGAGTACCAGTGAAACAACGACGTCCCTGAACTTGTTCTGCATTAGTTACAAGATGCAGCTGCGGGGCTTTCGTACCTTCATACGCTCGGCATAGTGCACGGTGACTTGAAATCGGTGAGCGCCGTAACAACTACAAAACAAGGCGAACGAGTATTGTAATCGATGTCCTGCAGGCCAACATTCTGATCAACTTCAGAGGAGAAGCATGCCTAGCTGATTTCGGTCTTGCAACATTCATCCACAATGTAAATACCATTGCTGCTTTCGCGAGCACTACAGGCGGTATACGGGGATCTGTCCGCTGGATGGCACCAGAACGCATGGACCCGGAGGGTGCTGGATATGTGAGCTCGCAGCCAACCAAAGCGAGTGACATATACTCATTTGGGATAACGATGGTGGAGGCGTGTACATTTGTGTTCGACGCGCCTGGACCCTGAAGCTGACATTGGGACAGGTATTCACCGGAGTGATTCCATTTCACAACAGCCGAAATGATGCCGCTGTTATCGCCGCCGTACTCTCTGGAAAACGACCGAGCCGTCCTCCACAGCCACAGGCAGAAGAGGTCGGATTGTCTAGCTCCGTCTGGGCGCTGATCGAGAGATGCTGGGATCAAGACCCACGAAAGCGTCCCATAATCGCCTCGGTTATTGAAGCATTGCAGATCAGTCGTGTGCTCACATTCGAGTTCTCTGAGGCAGACCAGGTGAGATATACCCATGTGCTATCAAGCGTGCTCCGATGCTGCCACTTGAAGGCACGCTAAATGAATATTCATTTTTATTTCTAGGATCATACATGCCGTTGCAAGGCTATCTGCTCCTGCACAGCACGTTGTCGCTGCAAACGCGACCCGACGTACGGCGACCCCTGTGACGCCGTCGCCTTTCTTCGCGCCTGGGGCGGAAACGCAGACCACTTCTACACTACTAGTGTAGCGGAGATGTACAAAGCGGTGAAGAACATTGGATACAAAGCTGAACCCAATGCTTGCTACGTATATGCAACCCAGGTCGGGGCGACAGTCCCGTTATACCGCGCATGGTCGGTATCGGCGTGCGATCACTTTTATACGACGTCCTTGAAAGAGCGGGATAATGCCGTCGCAAAGCTTGGATATGCAAACGAAGGAGTCGCCGCGTACGTCTTCGCATCACAGATCTGCGACGCTATTCCCTTGTACCGCCTCTACAAACCAGGCTCGTCCAGGGATCATTTCTACACGACCTCCTTTAGTGAACGGAACCGGGCTCTGAACTCGCACGGCTATGAGGACGAAGGCATAGCCTGCTATGTACTGCCCATACCGGGATTTTGATACGAGGTTATGCCTGCAGCCGTCGCCCAATACACGTTTGAAACGAGTTTGACAATAATATAGGATATACGGGATATACTAGCAGCGCGGTCTACGTACAACAATCGAACAAAGCAGAACAATTAAAAGTCGTAGCCTTCGACTTTAAATACCTTTCCATAGTTAAGGAAACCTTCCATTATTTTCATGATCTGGTCCGGAAGCCCCATGCTGAGGAGCGTGTACGAGATCTTCGCGTGCCCGTGGATCTGCCCCAGCTTGAAGAGACATCGAGCTATCTGAGTCGGGTACTGCAGACATCAACAATGTTAGCTGAATGGTCGGCACTTGCTATGTGAATCACTCACCGTCATCTCCGTGTACTCCGCCCACTGATACGCTGCTACGCGAATTGCAACCTGCAGCGTACGCTGGATGTCGCCCTCCTCCGCGTACGTGTCAAGCAGCTTGGACCACGGCTTGTATGAGTATCGCGGGGAATCCAGACACCGCGTGTATGCCTCTTTTGCTTCCTCCTTGTGGTGCAACCGACCGCCAAGATCGCCCAGTATCTCCCATTCAAGAGCCGTCTTGCGGTATGCAACATGTTGCGTCTTGAAATGCGCCACCTCAGCGCGGAAAATTGTCCAGACGCGCAGATCCTGTGAACCAGTAGCCGTTAGCCCTGCATGCAGTTAACGGTGGAGACACACACCTCATAGAGGACCATGAACAAATTGTCAAGCCATCGCTCGCAGAGACGCTTGTTGCTGAAAGAGAATGGCTCTTGGCTTGGATTCGATGGCAATTCGCCGTCCTGCATGCCATCGCCGCCTGACGCCGCCTGCATGGGCTTCTCCAGAGCGTCCCCCGCAGCATCGGAAACGCCGTTCTGTTTTGCCTCTTCATTTGCATACGCCTCTTCTGATCCAGGCTCCTCCTGGCCCTGTGCCTCTTCCTGCTCCTTCGCAAGCTCCCGCTCGATGTCGCTCTCAGTTGATATCCTGATAGTCGGAATACCGTTGCCCACACCAAGCGTGTCGGATTCCGCTGCCGACGGGTTCGTCGAATGCGCCGGGGACACGACCCCACGCGTCGACGCATCGTCGTCTGCTGCAAGCTCGCCACCGGATGCAGACAGGGACACGTCGCGCTTCGGCAGTGCGCCGTTCTCTTTGCTTACCGCAGAGTTCCCGTCTCCCTGGAGTGTGGGGCTGGGTGCGGGCGAGGCGTGCGGGCGCAGGTCCGACTGCGCCTTCTGCATGCGGTATTCCTCTTCCATGACGAAGACGGAGCTTCGCGTCTTGAGCAGCTCGTCCCAGCCTATTTGCGATACGAGGCGAGTCAGGAGCGCATACGCACGTGCCCACGTTCCGCGCAAGCCGGGCGCCGGGAGGCGGAGGAGAGCAGGATCGGCCTACGCATAACAGAGTCAGCGCGCATGAGACATAATAGTCCGGCCAAACACTGACGTCATCATCCTCGGTCTTCGTGCGCTCAGGCAGGATTTCAACGATAGCGCCCTTTGGCGGCAGATGCACCCGCGAAGCTGTGAGGTTACGGTGTGCATCTCGGCCGTTGTAGGTGAACATTGGACATGAGTTCAGCGTCAGAAGCGCCTATCCCAGTACTGCGTCAACGTCCAACATTCGCGCGCAGACTCAAGAGCACTGCATACCGAATCAAACTGCCCCAAATCAATGTAGAGTTCCGTCAACTTCTCCCATGTGACAAATTCACTTGGCGCACAGTTGACGGCCTGCCGTGCGAGTTTTAGCGCCCATTCAAAGTTGCCTTTCGAGCGTAGAAAGTCGCATTGCGCGTGCAAAAGGGTATACGACTGTGGTGTCTGCTTGATCGCCGCACTCATGATCTGTACGGCCTTAACCTCCTCATCTACCCGTAACATAAGTGCCTGAAAGCTAGATATCGCAGGCTCGACTCACTCATGCCAATGTAGCTCCCCGCAAGTAAGGAGGACACCTCCGGCTCCCGCGCACTTAACTTCTCGAATAGGTTCGCTGCATGTTGGTACCGTCCGCTGTGGCCGAAATACTTCATGATCGCCGACGTGAGGTGGTTGGACACGACCGTCGCAACCTGGATCTCAGGCTCAGATCCAACCTGCCAGCCTGCGCCCGTCAATTTGCGCCCGAGGTCTTTCCACGAGACTTACCCTTCATGAAGAGCGCCTCTGCAGCCTGGAGGAAGCGCAATTCGCCCTCTGGTGTGGTAATGGGGTCGAGCTTGCGGTATGCATCCAGCCAATACGCCGAGTCGTCAGAATAGAGAATGGCACGCAGGATAGCGGAGAGGTAGGTTTCCTGCCACATTTCTTGCGCTGCGTCTGAGCTTAGCTCGTGTCTACGCCAAACATTGACGTAAGTAATTCAGGTCAGCACATAGGGAGGATGTTACATACCTTTCTCCACGTAGGTCTACCACGTAAGCGTTCACACCGCCGGGTATCTTAACGTCTACGCGCACATCAACGCGAGAAAACGCGTTGAAGCAGCTTCTTGGACTGTGAGTTTGCGGCTTAGAGGATAGTTAGAGTGATTGCGCACCAATAGCACCCATGCCGCACTTTCCACGCCGACCCCTTCGAGAACCACCCGGAGTCGTCTTCAATGGCATATGTCAACGAGTTGATGTATGCAGCAAGCGACGCAGAGGATGATGCGTCGACGCCAGAGACATAGTGGTACGAGCCAAGCTACCCAAGTGTTACGGTCGGGCTGTACAGCCAGTCGTGGGGGCACTCACATCGCGTTGCCCGCTGCGCCCCGTACTCTTGATTACATGGCAAAGATCTGGTGGACCTAGCTCACGCCAAGTCGCTATAAACGCCGTCAGTTATGTGAATGAGACCCGTATGTGAGGTACACTTACAGAGAGCCTCCGTACGGGCGGTCAGGGACTCCCCAAGATCCACCTGAAGGAGGTAATTAGATTAGACCAAGAATAACTTTTCTAGACTGACCTCGAATATCTCCGGAACGTCTTTGAAGGACGAATCCGCCATACTCGCAAACAGATGTGTTAGTCGGAAGAGACGGTGGCGTGTCGCTAGCCGGGTCGCGTCCAACGGCGTCTACGCGCAAGCGAACAGCGCGCTTGGCACTCGACGACCATCGTCTCTCCGAGCATCGCTTGCAGACCCTCATCCGGCTCAAATCGTTTCGTGTTCCCGCCACTTTTGGACTCAGAAAATCTGAGATGAAGTATGGATAATTCGGTATCGCAAAACACTAGACATACCTAATCAGGTCGTCGCCTCTGCTTGCTCTACTGTATGAACTCGGATATCTCGCAAAGAAACGCAGCCAAGAATGGAGAACGACCCAGACTGCCATCCTGGTTCCTCAATTGTTGATACACCTCACGCAGGATCCTTGCTCATTATGTCCGACAACGTTTGAAGGGCCGTCTCATGGACGTTAAGCATCGGTAAAAGCATTGATCTTTTAAACTGCTGTGCATGGGGTCAATGGAATACACTTCGACTCGTGCGTGATCGTCGCTTCTGCCTATTCATCCACAGAGGATACTGATCTTAGGCACATCGTTCAATTGAGTACATTCCAGCTACGGTGTCATGGACGTCTGCTGCTGATGATGTGAGCGATGAGAAGCCGCCTTTACATCTCGGATCCCTTAGATACTCTGCACGCCACTAGGCCGTTCACATTTGGTGTGTAAGTCGAACACGTCAACGTCCGGCAGCAGAGCATATGCTGGACTTTCGCTGTCGCATGGGATTTTTGAGGATATAGCTGAGTTGAATGCAGGCGAGGTTGCCGCTTGCCCGCGGTTGTGTTTGTGGGTTGACTTACAGACGATTCGAGTCCTTTCAGCGCAGCGAGCCACAGACGAGTCCTCGCTCAGGCTCAATATATTACATCTTGATCAATAGTGGGGACCGATCAAATCTATCAAGGGAGAGGCCCCCCTGCATGATCAAAAGACTACGATGGTGAGAACGCACTTGTGTCAGCTGCTGACACCAAGGTCTATGAAAAATGTCAATCGCGGTCTCATGCATTTCATAGCTGATCAAGAAGATCATCACATATCATCGCAGCTGCATAAATCCAAAGCTCGCCTGTCGTGATTGGCCACTTCCCTGTTGCTATCAGCCTGATCTCACATCTTTACGCAACACTTCACTTAGTATGGCGGATAGCATAAAGTCTGTCCTCGGTGCGACAGCTGGCTGGGGCTTCATAGGAGTCTTGTTTGGTTCTCTGTGAGTTCGTGTCTGGACGTCTATAGGACTACTTGATTATGGCGACGATCTAGGTTTTTGGGTGTCTCTTGCGCACAGACTCTATACTATTGTTCAACGAGACGGCTGGAGATTGAGGTCATTTGTGGGTACTCATCTTCCTATCTGGCTACTTTCTTGAGTTGACGGCATATTCGGAAGATTGGTTATTTACGGTTCGCGCAAAACGTTCCGTTATGAATTACGCCCCTGAAATTCCGAGCTGAACGATAGAGTCCTTGATCTAGCTCGCACAGCAATACCCGCGGCGGTACGTCTCCTCACCTTCACTATGCAGGCATACATCTTCACTACTGGTTAGTGTATCTGACATTTCTTGGTCACCGACCATGGCAATCTGCTCGAAGTAGAGCTCTTACACAGGTATATACCAACTCATCTATATATCGTCATGCGAGCTCACGCAATGATCTAAAGCACCTTCTCGGTGAGAGATATGATGCTGTGACGCCGTCTTAAAATTTGAATCATAATTTGTACTCTGCTGTAAGGCTCAGTACGTCCTTGGGGTAGGCCGTGTGTTGTTCAGCGATTTGTGCCACTTACAACATCTCTTCAGGGATTCACATCGTCATTAGTGCAACTCTATGTACCACTTATCAATCGTTCCCCATCAACTCCGAGGCTTTTCCTACTGACATTTAATCAACAGCTACTATATTCGTATCATCTACGTGTGTATGTGCTTCCGAGCCATGCAATACACAATGCGATGCTGAGTCTCAATGTCTAGTTATTGGAGACAAGTGGTATCGGTACCCTGCGATCATTTTCATGGTACGACATCTCTACGAAAGCACGTAGTCTGCTGAACATGCTTGAAGGCCACTTTGTCGCTTCTATCGCTTTGTGAGTCCTATCACAATATCATATTTGTCTCGAGTGTCATTGATTTTCTCCAGCTCTCAACGTCGGTACGAACTACTTCTGCAAACCCTTCGATTGATGACTGCATAACTTGAATATAGCAATTGCAGCCAGGATGATAGTCTCGCTCTTTCGTTCATGCACCGAGGATCCTCCAGGAAAGCGAGTGACCCTATCGCTCAGGCTATTGGTGCATCAAATGTACGTCCATGAACTCGGCCATGTCCTATTTCTTGTCTTCGGCAGCACGTTCGACGCCCTTTGTACCCAGCATGAAGAAAGCAGGCCTATTTGTCAATATGACATATCATTTGACTCTGTCCACGCATGAGACCATGCGTAGACCCGTGCAGGCTTTACTCTCGTTATATGATAGCCTCGTAAATGTCTTGCCATCCCGCCTGTGGCGAACAGCACGGAAGAGTTGATGGAACTTGACATGTCATCGTATTTGGCATTGTTTGTAGTCCCTCGCGGCCTTTGCGCGAGCCTTTCTTATGCGTCTGACAGAGTTCAGAAGAATGCAATATATCTTCGATGCTTGTTCTTGCTGCGGATCTCGGGCAAATGTCAACAAGAACAAGTCAGACGATACCATTCTGGGGCTTTACTTACTGGTGCACTTCACACAGCGTCTTCTCTCACCGACGTGTAGAAGTCCTCCTAGTAACAGCATACGTGGGTCCCCTATAAATGTGACAAGTATTTCCGTCGCAAAAGCAGACGATTAACGAGACTATCAGTTCATGCGCATTCTCTGGTCCCTCGCATACTTGCCCTAGGGGCATCCTTCCTCGAATTCTCACCATGCCTCGGGGTGATTGTTATTTTGACCCAGCGAGAGGCGTGTCGCGTTATGCCGGACCTCTGCCGCATTCATACTTCGCTGAGCTGTTCGTGTTTTTTGTGGGTAAACATGAGACGGCGAGTACAGGGGTTTGCCCTGATATGCACACGAGACGGTTCTATTGTGGATGCTTATGATCACACCACACCGTATTGCGACGCGGTCTGATCAGTTCCTGGACTTGTTCGTCCCGTGTTGTATCTTGCTTTTATATCTCCCTGAGTACACTGTATCAGTGGGACTTGACCGACACGACAATAGCTCCAGCAGAGTTTGTAAAGCCGCTTCAAACCTGCTCAAGTCTTATCGGTAGTTCCTTTCGTGGAACTGGGTCCTCTCGGTGAGTAGTCAATATCTTGATACCGCATTACTGTAGTTCAACTGTTACTACTAATCAATCTTACATTCTTCGCTAAACATAGGGGTTCATGGCGTTTGACGTGTCCAGGGTTCAGTATAAAACATAGTCGCCGACTGATACTGTTGCAGCTGAGCAGACAGGATCTTTGAGAATCCGATTATGTCTCTAATGTTACCCCATGTTGATGTTGCCAGAGAGATGTTATGCAGCGCTGTCTATCATAATTTCGTTCGCCTATGTCGACAAAGACCGTCTGAGGTCATTTACAGCCTCTTCAAAATGCACATGTTGCTCTCTGCTCCATCTTCATCATATCCACGGTTCGTATTTCATCTCTTTAACTCTCTGATATGGCTAAACTTTAAGTTGATCTATCAGGAAAGTGCCACGAAATGTCTCTCTCATTGAATGAAGCTGCCAGATTTGTATAGACGCCGTCATGGTGAGACGATGAAATAGAAGCTGGAGCGCGCTCGGGATTCGACATCATTCGCTTTTGGATGATAGAGCTGATATGATATCTTTAAGGAGACGTGATGTATGCAAATTCCTCGCAGCAGCGTCTATACAGCGGCTATCTCATGACCGGAACAGGTATACACGACCACGTTGTGTCTGCGTTCTACACTTTTAAGGCAGTGCTCACGGTCGCGGCAGTGAATATCTGTCGGCCTTGAAAGTTTGATGTCTTTTGATGCCGACTACGTTCCCATAGGTGTCATGTTATATCGGATACATAGTGAGACGTTCAACCATATAAAAGGTTACTTGTATCCCCCTTGATACTTGCCGCTTCTCTATTGTCGACCCTAACACATCCCGTCCTTTTCCCCTGCAGTTTGGTGAATATGACCGAAAGTTTCAAGACTTTAATCAGCACGACTATCGGCTGGAGTCTCATAGGAGGCTTCTTCAGTGCTATGTAAGTTACTATATATGTGTATAGAGTTATGTCCCTCAATAGTGACTACCGTCTAGGCTCTCTGGCGTCTCTTATGCACAGACCTTATACTATTTCCGCCATTTTCCACATGATCGGTGGGAGTTGAGATCGTTTGTATGCAATCCCACCCATGTATCGTCGCCAATGCTGATTGAATAACATATATGATAGGTTTGTGTATTGTGGTAGGCGGGAAACGTCCCATCTCAGAATAATGCCTAAACTTGAACCGGGCTGCTAGTATCCTTGACACAGTTCGCACTGCGATGTCCTTAGCGGTATGTCGTCCTATGGCACCCTACATAAAGGCTGCTTTGTCTTCAATGTCGGTCAGACTATATGGACTTTCGTGATCCACGATCATGGGAATTTGATAGAGGTGCAGTTGTATCCGAGGTATGTATTACTGCATTCATGTGTCATCATCACGGCTCATCTCAATGCTCCAGCATTTTTTCGGTAAGACCTTGAGCTGTGGTGACATACCTTTGAATATGTTTCGAGCTCGATCTCTAGTCCCAATACTTCCTCGGAGTGAGTTGCATAACGCGAAAAATCCATTCTGCTACTTACACAATGCTTCCATTAGGGAATCATGATGATATTGGTGCAATTGTACGTAGCACAGAACGACCTTGTTCTGCGAACCTTGTGGACCCACATACTGAGACATATGCGATAGTTACTTTATCAACACCATATATGCAGGTATGTGCTTTTGAGCGATGTGCATAGTGCACAACATCAATTCTTGAGTGTCAGTGATCAGGCATAAATGGTATCGGTATCCTGTGGTAATCTCTATGGTATGATATCTTCACAAAATCCATACATTCCACTGAAGCATCCTGGAGGCCGCAATGTCACTTTTGGCCCTATGTAAGTCCTTACATGACACTCTTGTCTCATTCATCACTGATGTTTCTCAGCCATAACCAGTGGTATGCACTTTATCTGCGGAGACCTGTCAACCAATGAATTCACCGCACAATTATAGCCATTACAGCCAAATTGTATACTTGACTATTTTGTCAAGTCTCACGTACATTGAATGATTATTTGTCAGGAAACAAGGTGACTTCATCGTGGAAGCTGTTGATTCTGTAGCCGTGAGTCTCTTCATACCGGTTGCATGTGCCTCGTTTATCAAGACGGAAGGTCCTTGGATGCGTTGAGCTGGGGGCATTCGCCATCGCGGACATTGAGATTGCTGTGGCACTGTGCCTGGCTATGTGGAATGAGAGAACTGGGTTTATGAGGTATGTTCCCTGATCAGAGCCTATTGAACGAGCTGATGTCCCCCCAAATTGAATTTGCGCTCAGAACGGATTATCTGATATCAAGAATCTTCATTTTCTCTGTCAATCGAGGTATCATTACCGTGTGAGATGTTATTTTGAGATCTGCACTATATCAAAAGTGACTCACCATACACAAGGGCTCTTGAATTGGTTGAGCTCGGCACAGTAAGACTTCGACACCGAATCCAGTTAATCATTGATATTTAAGCCACCACAGTTAGCAGCGACTTTCCAATCCACGGCTCGATACAATCTAGTTTGGACAGCATTTCATTATATGAATAGCAAAGGTAAGAAGCACGACCATATGAAGTCAGCCCGAGTGGGTTCACACCTGATATTTGGTACCTTTGATTCAAGTATACACGAATGCCCTGCTCGCTCTGTAAGTGACTATGATGATTGTGTTCACAAGCATGGTTGCTGATGTCCATAGATTGAATGCGCGAGAACACTGGAGAGAAGGAGGCCCATCAAAACACATGAATTTACTGGAGAATATCAGGCTTCCAATCATGACTACACAGGACGTAGGACACAGGTTCGCAAACATATATTTGACCACGTTGCACTGCTCTCTTTGACATCAGATACTAGATCCGACAGCTCCGAGAGGAGATGCAGTGTAACGCATACACAAATCATGGTTACAAGCCACATTGTGCAAGATACTGTAGCCGTATAGCATTTCATTGAACTTTCCGACGACTAGTACATTCAGAATATAATTTCAGCCAAACATGCCTCGTCTTATTGCTTCTGTCATCTAAGGCAATCTCAGCTACCGTCGTCTTTACCACGTCTGCACCCGGTAGGTTAATCGGGAACTTCGGTATGGGCGCCCATATACCACTGATGCTTTTCCCAGATCTCTTTGCGCTCTTGTAGGTCTCTCGCCAGAGGTCAGCCTCTTTGAACACCTTATTCACTGTGCAGCAAGTATGTATAAAGAGATGATGATCATTGAAGTCATCTCTGCCTGCCTGGTAGAGCCCTATCGACATTTCCCGATTGGCCATTCGTCGCACACGGCCTTGTGCGCGGAGCGTGGGTTGTCTATGTCTAAGACGCCCTCACGATAATGTAATTCACAAAGCCGTATTGATGCATCGCTCAAAATTGACAGCCGACAGCTAAGAGCCTATACCATCTTCACGAGGGACACGCGCGCCAGACCTCGTATTTCCATCAATATAAAGTAATGTGGAGGGTAGAATTGACCGTTGACCTACGAGACGGGTCAAGTTCACAAATTCAACGACTTTCATATAAGAGAAAAGTACAGTAGAAACTCTTTGGCCGGGATCATATCCTTGCGGGAAATCGACTCGGATGTCAATCCTGAGGCACACCTTCAGCCACATTTCAGTTCGACCGTTCGACTGTACTTTAAGTGCCTGATATGTGCGCATTACTCAAGCAGAAGATGGTATGATGACCACGGCGCGCCATGGGATAGTGCTCTATATGTAGGATGGCTAGAGGAGACTACCCGCCAGGATGGCTATTAGTAGGATCTCATCAATATCTCGGAAGCCAACACGTGACTGTGACGCGTTGCGATCACTCCTAGACTCCCACGTCGCGTCGTTTCTCGTGTCTCAGTCATGAACGTCCCTGTCAGTTTGCTTCAAACGGTAAGTGTTCAGCAGGCCTTCAGACTCACAGTTGGATCACCTTCATTACCATAGACCTGCTTTACTCACCCTTCATTTGACGAAGCAATGCAGGCGTCTTGTGGCTTTCGATGTCAGAACACTTGTATCATCCTGTAAGGATGTTTCAACGCTGATGTATGGACTCAAGGAACGATGATTTTCCTCATGAAAACCAACCATTCTTGCATGGTGGGTATATACCGTATTGCGCAAATCCGGCGCTGTGTGTATTCGGTGGGCCACTCGCTTCCATGAACCTTGACTGACTGTGATGGTCTATTCTATCTCGTTCTCTCGTTCCTCTTCCTCGTCCCTTCTTCTTTTTGAAGTGGATGACGAAGGGAGTTCTGCATATGTTGCTTCGTCACCACCAAAGTCGCATCGTTACCCCCGCTTGAGTCTCGAGTGCGATCGATCTAGTAGATGGCCAAAGCAGGTACATGGTCGTTCTTCATCCCACCTCTTATTATTTCTGGTATGAGATCTCCCGATATTGTTCCTGAGGTACTGGAAACGCCGCGAAGAACTCTTGCGTATGTCTCATACGTACGCTTCCAAAATAGTTCATGACGCTGACGTCTGCACCGCCATTGTGGATACGCCGCATGTTCTGTAAAGGCGCACAGCACACAGGGCCGAAATCACGATCTTCTGAGGTTCATTCGCTGATTATCAGAAGACAAGCTGACACGTTTCGACCTGAGGAATACGGAATGTGGCTATTGAGCGGATACTCATACTCTCCTTGTGTCTACAGCCTTATTTCGTCCAACGTAAACCTATGCGCGGAGCTCGGGATCCTGCGCCGTGATTAGGGCGAGTAGCATCAATCCAGGACTTCCTGTGAGTGATTCTACTTCTCTCGGCCTCAATAACGGCCGGCTTCACACACTACTCCTACGCAAGCACTCAGGCCGAGAACAGACTTTTAGTGTCATCCTCCTGCATGGTATGTCGGTGATCACGCTACAGGACTTACTCTCACATCTTGGAGTGGTGCGACGTTCAGCACAGTCATACCTAAATCCGCGAGGTCGTTCCCGCTGACGCTGACATCTATCATCCTTCCTTCGCCCATGCTTCTACCGCCTTCCCATAATGTCCGTTTTGCGGAGATATGACGATCGTCGCTGATGTCATTTGTCATCAAGCAGCCATCTCGGCACGCCGTCTCACAGTGCTAGGAGGCGCTAGAGTAATAACAGGTAATTGCCGCGGCTATCCTGCGATCTTGGCAAGTGCAGCTCATCTGCCATCGCGGAGCGCGCCTCACCCGCCTTGCATCGACGTACACACATAATTGCCAAGACCCTGGGGCAGCGCGTTCCCAGGCAATCCACTAGCTCGCGATGTTGCACCGACAGAAGGGAAGCAGCACACCGAAGGCTATAATCGTCACGCTGATTATGCTGCAACGACCCTCAGGCACGGATACAGAAGCGCTGATGCCTCTTAGCTCGATTACTGCTGCATCAGCATTCCCGCCAAATCTGGAACATCGTTCACTCTACGCGGAGCAATTAGCAGCGCGCCGCATGGTGCCCTCGCCGGTATTGCTGGCGGTCAGACTGCCTCCGTCCGCTTCAGAAACTGGGGGATCGCCACCGCCTCAAACTGCCCCTGTCTCCGTCAGCCAAGCGCTTAGCCCAAGCATGTGTATTCGACTCGATGAAGCATTCCCGATGACCGGGCCCAGCTACTTGTGATACTGCACGGCGAGCCGCATCGTCCTCCATGCTATTAACAGTCCCGGAAGAGAACACGAAATGAGACGCCGTATCGCGCCACCCTACGCCCGCCCGCGTCCACTTCTTCCCGCCCACGATAGCACGAAAGCCAGAACCTTACCCCCGTTTCGGACACAAACATGCCTGCAGGGTGGCGCTCCCACGTCGCCCTCCCCGGATGCATTTTGCGTCGTATCTAGCAGGCTTCTAGGCTCCTCCTCGCAGCAGCCGCACCAGAGCCCCGGACGCCTCGTGGCTACCAAGCTCACGCTTCAGGCGACGCACATATTTCTGGGCCCCCCAACGGCACCCCCGTTTGCCGCCATCAGTGTGCAGCTTATTGTGCCCGGCGGGAGCCCGCCAGAGCATTGAACCTCGCGCTCGCCATCTATATGCCCACTGTACCCGGCCGGGCCCAGGCTGTTCCTGTCGAACACAGAGGGTCAAACGGCGCCGCAGCGCTGAGCACAGGCGAGCACCAGCCACTGCACACCGATCACGCTCAAGGTACACCATTGCTGGCTGGACGGCCCTGCACTTTGAGAAATGAAATTCGCGGAGCGAGAAAGTGATCGAGCGCGAGTGGTGCATGCCTGTTTCCCCGCACAGATGACACCCTAGATAGGCTATGTGGGGCTTGGCATGGACATCCCGTATGTGGCGAGGGCCGCTCGTCCGCATAGCGCAATGATATCACCGACGATCCCGCGTCGCATATGTTGTAATGCACCAAAATATATTCTGACATATCTGCTAGTGGCATGCTGAGCCTCACATTTCAGCCGGTCGCGCAGGAATGTGATGATACAGCTGCGGAGGAGAAGACTGAACGTTGATCCAGATCCTGATATCGAGATGGCAGGTCCGTCCTCGCTTGCTGCTGCCGCCCTAATGAGGCCTAGCGGGCGCACGTCAGAGCCACCCGCCCGGGCTGCGATCACTCGTAGGGGTACCATGTAAGCACAAACAAAAACAAAAACAAAAGCGCAGGACACCCCCGCCGGATCTTGCAGAACGTCAATCTAGAATGTTTCCCCATACTGGCACAGCCTGGGGGTGATGTCAGGCGCGGCGGTGGCGCGCGAAGCGGGGTGCAGGCGCCCGGGAACTCCGGACCTACACTGTTGCATACCGCATACCCCACAGTCCCCCGCTCGGATGCTGGTTTCGATTTGAGAGCCGTGCGGTCCACGGATCTTGGACATTGACAGGGCTGCATACTGGGGACATTTTGGTCCCGCCATGACTCGCACCATTGATCATTTCTGTTCGCAAGCCGCGACGTCACCACAGAGACGCGCACAGCCAGGTCCGGTCCGGGATCGCGCGTTCAATCGAACGACTCCTGTACGGCATCCAGCGCCGGGTCGAAGATACGCCTGCCCTCAGGCTGCGCTGCCATAGTGCATAGTGAGCAAGCGGTGAGTAGGGAGGGAGGGAGAGGGAGCAGGCACCATTGCCAGAGGTGCACCAGCGCGCAAAGGCGAACAGCGCGCCGGCCGCGCCTCGCGAACCGTAGTCAAATTCACGTAATGGGAAGCCTATGGTGAGAGCGGCGCGGCGCGCCCTGCACACCACGCACCATACCTCCAGCCTCGCGTCGTCGGAGCTGCAGCACTACGCCCGTCCCAGCGCACACACATGCCCTCCGCATGCCTCCCGATCCCCGACCAGCAGCCGGCCGACCACTACGGGCGGTCCCACGCCCAGCGCACCGCTTCCCGCGGCTTCCCTGCTTCCCGCCCGGATCCGCCTCCAAGCATCGCGACATGCACCGCACGCCGCGTCCCCGAGAGGCAGGCTGAAGGACAGCAAAGGAGAATCGAGCAGGCAGACGGAACGACGGAACCGAATGGGGCGCCCGTGCCATCCGTTGCCGCGTTAACGCGCGGGCTGGGCGCGCCGCACATGGGAGCCCAAGGGCGGAATGCAGCCTGCGCGCGCGGCTGGGGACCGCGCGGGCGACGGAGATCGGTCGTCTTGCCCGGCGCGGAGGCGCGCGCGTTCGCATTTCAGGCGGAAGAGCGGCCGTGCTGCATCCATGTCGAGGCGTATGTGCAGCCGGCCGAGCACCAGCGGGCAGGCCCGGGGACGAGAACGCTCACTCGCTCGCGCAGCAGCAGCAGAAGAAGACAAGGACAAAGAGAAGCAGGCGGCTGTCAACTTCCAGCGCTGCGCCATCGTACGTGATACCGGCGTGATGGGATCACACACGCTCTCGAGGGAGAAGCGCGAAGCCGCGTCCGCTGGGAGTGGGAGCATCAGTATGACCGCACCATCGCCGCATCGACATCGACATCGATCCACAGATGCAGATGCCACGGAGACGGAGGGTGCCCTGCCATTAGGCAGCGCGCCTGCGGAATGCAGAAAACGACACGGACGGGGGGACGCACCGCGGACAGAGACAGACAACCGCCTGCGAGCGTGTCTGCCCTGCGCCCTGAGCCGCGGTCTTGGTCTTGGTTTTGGTTTTGGTGGCGAGTCGCGACCTTCGGGACACATTACTTCGGGGCACCAGCCAATAAGACGGGCCCGTCTGCGTCTGTGTCCGCGCCAAACGTAAACCACCTTTCACCTTCACGCACGCACGCGCTGTCTCCTGTGAGCGCACACCCGCCGTTTGGCACGCCGCTGGGGATCTGATTGGCCCGGGCGCGGCACTGAGGTACTGATCGGGGGCGATAGACGCGAGCCCGCGCGACTCGTCAGTATTTCAATTGTCAAGGTCAGTCAATTGTCAAAGCCGGTGCGCTTCGCGTCCGCCTCGCTCTGCCCCCCCGCGGCTTGTGGCTCCCACCCCCACCCCCACCCCCACCCCCACACGTCGGCACGGGCATCGTGGTCCCAGTGCGCGAGGCAGCCTATGGGGGCGCCGCGATCGCTGGTCCGGCCGCGACGCGTGGTGTGTGTTGCGGGGGACGGCGGAGGGCACAGGCGGATGGCGGATGGCGGGCGAGGCGAGGCCCGGAAGCCTGTCTCGCGAGGTTGTCTCGCGTGCGGCGTCTGACGCGCCAGCCGCGGCCGACGTTGATGGACCTGACACGAGCGCAGAATGCGGGGGCGACGCGACAGGCACCGAGATGGGGCCGGGCGATCGCGGCCGCGCGTGCGTGCGGGGTAAAATGAAGGGAATCAGAGAAACCGACGAGAGGGACAGGTGCCGACGACGCGGCGCACGCGGCGCGGTGATGGCGAGTGCAGATGATGGCAACGGGCGCGTGTGTGCGCGTCGGGTCGTTGGGTTGCTGTGATCGTGATGGGAATGGGCCGCCGGGACTCTGGCTGCGCGGGACGGGGACGGGGGCCCGGGGGTATGCGTTTAGGAGGGGCGACGCGAAACGCGATCAGGCCGGGTAAGTTGCGACATGCGATGCGGGCGAAGCGACAAGGCGCAGGGGATGTGGAGGGAAGAGCATGAGCATTGAGCGGGCTGTACGTTCGCAGGAAGAATGAAGATGTCGCGGCAGAGCAGCTGCATTGGTGGGACCGGGGTGCGGGGTGAGGGAGGAACGCATTGTCGGAGAGCTCGCAAGACGCTGCCAGACCCCTGGGCATATGCACGCGCAGTGGGAAGACGCTCCGAGTGCGCCTTTGGCGCCTGTCGAAGTGGAAGCGGGGGGTGGAGCTGGAGCGTCGAGGGCCGGGTTACGATATGGTGTAGTACGGCAGACGGCAGACGGGCGTGACTGAACTTTGGCAGTGGAACCGCGAATGAAAGAAGGAGGGAGCCGCGAGCGATTGTGCGGGAGTGGGGGGCCGCAGCAGCAGAGTGAGATACAGGGCTGCTGGCGCGGAATCTTGAGACGGCGCGAAGCTGCACTGGGAGGCGCCGATGCAGGTGCGGGCCGGAGCCGGGTGGACGTAGGAATGCATCGGTGCAGGGATGCTAGGTCCACCATGCACGCAGTCAAGGGACGGCGCGGAACAGCGGAGAGGGGGAAACGTGCGCGGCAGGCGTCGCTTGGCGGGGTGTGTCACCGGCGATTGAATCAGTGATGGAGGACGCCGGGCGGGGAAGCTTAGAGGCGGTAGACGCGGGTGCGAGGACGGCGGCGGACGCATGGCGAGCAGCAGGCAGCGCAAGCAGCGTGGACGGGGCGGGGGGCGGGCGGCTTGTACGTCATGGACGACACATCTGCCGACAGCGTCTGCATTTGCGTTTGCGTTTGCGTTCGGCGGCTCGTGGTGATCGTATTGCCGGCCGGGGGATCTGATGGGGCTGATGGGGGTCCCCGCGCCCCGGCCTCGGCGGGTGGGGCAGGGCGCTAGTGCGCCCCGGGGTCCAGACTGCGCTGTGTGCGGGGCCCCGCCGCTTCGACCGCATCAGCGCAGCAGCCGTGTTGGGTAGGCGCGAGCGCAGCGGGGGAGTGACGCAGCAGATACAAGGTAGGGCCGGGGGTGTGGGGGTATTTGCGGTGGTGATGGGATAGGAGGGCTGCGGGGGACCGGGCCTGGTGTGTGCGGGGGAGAGGGAAAGAGACGCCGGGGGGAAAGGCAGACTCCCATTGCGCCCGCGTTCCTGGCCTCCTCCCTGAATCGAATCTGATGCCTCAGACGCGCTTATAAGCCTCCCCGCCAGCATCCCCCTCCCACTCTTTCTCCTCTCCTTCCCCTCCTCCGTCTGCCCACATGTCGTCCTCGGCCTTTTTCGCCACTTCGTACAAGCCACAGGTCCTCTCCCGCCAGGAGGGCTTCCACCTCCCCTCCCCCGCTCCCTCCGCAGGCAACCCCCCTTCCCCGCCCTCGTCCCACGGCACCCCCGCAACCAATCCACACTCCTCTGCAAACGGCCAGCCCTCCGCCGCAAACAACTTCGATCCCAGCAATCTCTTCCTGCCCCCCTTCCTCTCCATCCCAGACCCCTTCCGCAAGTTCCCTACTGCACCAGACACCATCTCCTCCATGGACTTTTCCGACGAGCTCGCCAGCCTCATCGGTTCCCCTACTGAGCACCCGCAGCAGCAGTCCCACGAGCGGTCCACCTCCCACTCCAATGGCCAGCCAAACGGCGCGTACGACGACTACCGCCCGCCCACCCACAACATCTTCGACATCTCCGCGCCCACCTCCCACCACCACCATCACGCACAATCCCACCACCAACAGCCCCATTCGCCCTTTGGCCCCGGCCAAGGCGCAGCTGCCTTTTCCCTCCCCCCGCCCTCCACCCTCTCCCACTCGCACTCCCAGCAGTCCGGGCCCAACGGCCTCCACGACTTCGCCCACGCCAACTTCAACAGCACCCTCCCCGCCCTCGGCTCCTCCATGCGCTACGAGCCGCCCCCGCACTCGCCCTTCACCCTCACCGCCCCATCCCTCTCCCACTCGCACTCGCACTCCCACGCGCACGCCCACTCGCTCGGCGGCGAGCCCTCCTCCTTCTCCTCGCACCTCTCCTCCCTCACCGCGCTCTCCCCCTTCTCCACCATCACCGCCAACGGGCCGCCCGCCGGCGCCGCGGACATCCTCTCGGGGCCCGCACAGGCGCAGTCCCCGTCCCCGTCCTTCTCCCGCTCGCGCTCGCGCTCCCAGACGCGCACCGCGCTCGCCGAGCCGCCCAGCACGCACGGCGGGCCCGCGCGCCGCACGCGCGCGAAGCGCGGCAGCGTGAGCAGCGTCAGCCCGCCCCCGCTGCACCGCGGGCACACGCAGCCGCTCGTCATCCCCGGCAGCGTCCGCGGGCCCGCGAGCCCGCTCGGGCTGCACGGCGGCGGCGGGTGGCTCGGGCAGGGCGAGTTCAGCTTACCTACGCCAGACAGTGTCCATGGTGCGTTTTCTCTCCGGGTCCGTCGCGGCGTGCGCGAGGGGTGTGCTGACGGCGCAGGCGCAGGTGGATTCAGCGCGTTCACGGGCGGGCATTCGCACGGGCTGGGCGTGAGCCCGAAGGACGTCGGCGTGGGCGTGGGCGTGGGCGTCGGGATGGGCATGATGGGCAAGGGCGGCGAGAGCCCGCCGGGCGACATGGCCACAAAACAGTGCGTCTGCTTGCTCTTCTCCTACCGTGTCGCGGCAGGCAGGCTGACGGTGTCTTGGTGATATCCCCTTTTTCCCTTCTTCCCGCCGCCATCATCCGCACTTGTCGTCATCTGCCGCTCGCGTGGAAATCAAAATGATGCGCTCAAATGACGCATTCGTTGTCGGCCCATCGCGATGATCGACCGCCCCGATCGGCCACCGATTGCGCATGTTGGCACGCGCTGTGCGGCGGCGACAGGGCGCTGATCGCGAACGAGAAACGGCGCCGCCGGCGCGAGTCGCATAACGCCGTCGAGCGGCGGCGGCGCGACAACATCAACGAGAAGATCTCGGAGCTCGCGACGCTTATCCCCGAGTGTCTCCTGGACCCGAATGGTGCGTGGTTCCTGCGCGGCTCCGAGCTGCAGACTTGGCATGTATGGTGTACAGTGTGTGCTCACATGTTGCGTTGGTGCAGCGACGTTCACGATGCCTGCGTCGCTCTCGGCGCCGGGCGAGGACCTCCTCTTTGGCACCGGTGCGAAGGGTACCGGGGCAGCGCCCAGCATGGGCGCAGACGCCGGGTCGACTCCGCCTGCGGAGAAAAAGGACGGCAGCGCAGAGCCGGACGAAAAGGACGGCGGCGAGCAGGGCGGGATCGTGAAAGCGAACAAAGGCATGATCCTGCGCAAGAGCGTCGAGTACATCCGGTGCGTGCTGCTCGCGGGTGGGGCGAGGCTGCGGCGCGGTGCTGACGGGATTTTTCTCTTGTGTGTGAACAGGTATTTGCAGCAGCTCGTGTCCGCGCAGGCGTCGCGCAATCGCGACCTGGAGCAGCAGCTGCAGGTGTTCCGCACGGGCGGGGACGCGGGCGTGGGCGTGGGCGTAGATGGCACGAGCGGGGCCGTGGACGAGGACGGCGCGCTGGTGCTGCATGAGGAGGTGGTCGGGGACTTTGCGCTGGGGCTGCAGCAGCAGTACGGCAGCGGCGGCGGCGTCGGCGTGGGGCGCGGCGGGCGGAAGCGGTTCAGCGGGTTCGAGCTGGAGAGCGTGGAGGAGATGGAGATGGACGTGGGGGAGGACGGCGATGGCGACGCGGACGCGGATCAGGACCACGAGATGGGGAAGAGCCCGAGCGCGGACGGGGAGAGCGTGGAGGACGAGGGCGAGGAGGAGGAGCGCGGGCGGAAGGGGCGCGACGGGCGGCCGGTGGGGAGCGTGAGCTTGGGCGCGAAGGCGAAGCCGCCAGGGCTGGAGGGCGTGAAGGTGAAGGAGGAGGGCGAGATGGAGACGTCGTAACGACGGCCGACACGAACCGACCGCTGCAAACGCAAAATCGCGCGGGGGCTGACGTGTTGTCCTACCCCCGCGCGCTCCCCTCGCTGTCTCGTCTTCGCCTGCCTCTGGTAGACTCGTGACGCTGGCTCTCGCTATTTATTGTCTCGTGCGCTTCCCTGACGACTCGATACGCCTTCGTCTTCGCCGCCCTTTGCAGTTCCACATTCCTCTCGTCGCATGGGTCCGTCCTCAATGCTCCCCCCTGCTCGCTGTGCACAGTGCACACTCGCTCTTTCAATGCCCCCTCCCCCGCACGCTCGCTCTTGGCCCGCCACACGCCTCCCGCCGGTCCTGGCCCACTCACCCGACTGTCGGCCGCTCTATCCTCGCTCGCCCGCCGCCCATCTCGCGTATGATCTATTTTCTCTATCTCTGTGTCTGTCTCTATTTCCGTTCCTGTCTCTAATCTGCCTACCTGCCGTCGTCTGGTCTCGTCCCGTCCGTCCATCGCTCTTATCACATCACCGTTGTATGCCTTCGGTTGTACTGTATATTCGTCATCTCCATTCCTGCGCCTAGTCGTTGTTCCCCTTTCCTGCGCCTAGTCGTTGTTCCCCTTTCCTGCGCCTAGTCGTTGTTCCCTTTTCCTGCGCCGCACCGCACCGCACCGCCCGCGAGCAGCGCGGTCCCCAAAACGCGCGGCCTCCGGCCCCTGCCCTTCTCACTTCAGTTCGCGCCGTCGAGTGAGAGTGTGTACCATAGTTTGCTTTCTTTCATTCCTGGCTCGTCTATCCGTTCGCGGCTGGTTCTCTCTCTCTATCCTATTCCTGACGACTCGCATCTGTACGATTATATCGCCCCATCCATCCATCCATCCCATACATACATGATCCGTCGAGCAGAAAGATCGCCCCCTCCCACCCCGCATTACGCGTACGCATGTATAATCCGCGCTCTCTAATCAAGCCTGCTTGCTCGTCATCTGTCATCTGCGGTTCGTGATGGGCCCCTGTGTGTGCCGAGGGCGAGGGACAGGGTGGGGCTGCGCCGGTGGGCGCGGGAAGGGGTCCTTGCTCCGTACTGGCGGATTGGTAATGGGGGGTCCAGGAAGGTAAGTAAGGTTCGAGCCCAAGGCCAAGGAGGGCAGTCGACGACGACGACCCCGCATTGCGCTGCAGCCGGTTATGAACGGCTAATCGTTCGTCCGCATCCAAGCTGCCAGGCTGCGGCTTCCCCCCCCCACTTTTCCCCATGTCCTTCCCCATTTACGCGCGGGCTGCCCCACGATCGATGCGATCACAGAGTGTGGGGAAGCGTGGGGAGGGGCGGACAGCTCAGGGTCAGGGTCTCGCGCGATGAGCATGGGCGCTCGGAGCGGCCCCTGCCCTGCCCTGTCCTGTCCTCCTGTCCTGATCAGCGTGTGTTGCCGGTGCGCGCGTGTGTGTCATCATCAGCGTCATCATCGCTGTGTCTGCCTCTGCGTTTTCTCCGCACTGGCACGCCCCGTCCCCTTCGCCCGTGCAGCCGCCAGCCGCCAGCGACCAGCCGCCCGTGCCAGCGTTCTGGCTTCTGGCTTCTGGCTTCTGGCCGCGGCGTGCAGGGCCTGCACGTATCTCCGACCATCTGTCTGTGTGCTTTCTTTACCCCGCACGCGGGCGGCGCGCGCAGACTCGGACTGGGACTCGGACTGGGACTCGGACTGGAGATCGGAATCGGAATGGTGGTCGTAATTGGAATTGCAATTGGAATCGGGACGACGATGCTGGCTCGGACAGTCGGCCGCGACTTGTAAGCAGCTCTTGTCTCGCCGCCTATTGTTTGCCCCGGTGCGTGCGAGGGCTCGGCGGCCCCATCAGGAGATGGGCCGCGCGCCGCGCACGCCGCTGGCTTGGCTGGGGCCTAGCCCGGCACTCTTGAGGGGCGCAGGCGCGCCTGCGCGCGGCGGAAGGACCTCGATAAGGCAATGGGCGTCGGAGGGGGGAAGGTGCCGAAAGTGAGAAAGGGGACGGCTAGCTCTAGGACTGACGACATGGACATGGACGCGGGCAACGGCATGCGGCATGCGGCATTGTGGGGCGAGTGGGCGGCTCATAGGGGCGGGGACCGCGGAGATTGCTCGGCGGGGTTAAGCACGCAGGCGGCAGTTTGGGACCAGACGGGCGGGCCTGCGTGGCCGGTTTTCGCTGCTCTTGACTACCAAGCGTGCATACGACCGATACCCGAGGGACGAGGCTAGGCAATGGCAATGGCGAGGATAGGCAGTGGCAACGGGCAATGGGGTGGGGGCAGCCAAAGTGCCGAGCTCGCTCGTCAGCATGACCAATGCCAGACTTCCTCGAAGGCACTGCTTAGTAGCGCGGTTCGCAGACGGGAGAGGGGGAACGGCGGGCGCACGCCCAGTGCGGTAAACAGCCCGGCCGAAGAGGCAAGGCGGACCCGCCGCAGCGGGCGAGATGGTGTCAGCGATCTGCGAGATGAGAATGGGCGAGACTAAAATACTTCCGTATGCGCTCAGCTCAGCGGGCGGAGGCATTGCCGGAGATGATAGACGTGGCGTGAGGGTGGGCCGGGGGTCGGGCAAACCACACCCAGACCGGAATGGCAGTCGATGTCGCGGTTTTCACGCAGCGTAGATGCCAGGAGCGAAGAGCTGGCGAACACCGAGCGTCACACCCATCCGACGGGGGAGTGCTATGGGGGAGAATGCGCACGGCCGCCGCCACCAACGTATGGGAGCGACGCCGGCCGTTCTGGTGGCGATCTCGGGCCCGCCGCCTGCCGTGCCCTCTTGCGCCGCGAAGCCCAGGGCGATTGTGGATCAGAAGATCAGATAAGTGCCAGGGCGCGCAGCGGGCCAGGGCGATGTGGCCGCGATAGGGGGGCGCGGCTGTGGGAGCATTCCGGGGCCCCAAGCATTGCTGCTCGGCGGAAGCACTAGGCACTGGACGGATTGATGGAAGACGGTGTGGGGGTGGGGGTGGAGAAGACAAACCGACAGCACGCGTTTGAACGCCGCGCGCGGCCTGGTGCTCAGCTTTGTATGTAGGTCCGCAAGACGTTTTGTGATGTGAAGAAAGGCTGAGGGCGTCGAATAGGACGTTTACGTACGATGAACGTATGCCCAAGCCACCGGACTTTGCCCCTCTGAATCAAAGGCTTTCCAGCGTCTGACGCTCTACGATGACATGCCAGGCCGCTGAAGATGTTGAGTCTGCGCCTAAATTCGAGGGTGAGACATGCCCGCGACCACGCTGAGCTAAAGTCGGGTTGCCAAGTCATTACGTGTTCCACGAAGGCAGTGGAGCCATCGCGCATATCCCAGGTGTTGCTTCAAGAACTTGGGGACTGCGCATCGGTCGTGATGCTGTCGGTGAGTGTGTACGACGCGGAACGAGAGCTCAATAAAGACACACACACACACACGCTTAATGACGAGGTGGTCCGGGCACCCACGACGCGCATGCAACGTGCCGTGGAGCGACCATTCCAAGGCACACCCGGGTGCGGGCTTCTTGCAAGCAGGCCGTGCAAAATACAGAGGGAGAAGACGTAGCGTTCTGGTGTGCTCCCGCTGGCGATGCAGAGGCGAGTAGACGTCTATGACTTCATCACAGTCCCTTCACAATTTGTTCGTATCGATTGCTGCGCAGTTATTGATCGAAGGGACTCATGCGATGATTGGCTGGAGCTTGCTTGGAACAGCATCCGGTGTGGCGTTTTTGAAGAAGCACCTCGGGATGTGTTGAAAATAGAGGTGCCGGACGGTGTTTGGTCCAACTGAAAGGATGGGAGCCAGTCGATGCCGACGCATGAAGCAACATGTTGAGACGGGGGTGTGACGGTGCGACAGTAGACAGCGGTGTTCGCACATTTGCTGTGGAATTCACTGAGAGACGGCATTTGGCGCTTACAAGCTCTGGTCGAAGTGTGATGAGATTCGGGCCCCGTAATCAATTGTGGAGCCCTGCAGAAGGACACGTTAGCATGCCTGCACTGACGGCCTCGGGGGGCGATCCAGTCATTATCACATATAGGTCGATGCAGGCGAAGCGCAGCACCTGTGCTTCGCGCTGGGCTGTGAGTGATCGCGGCAGAAACAGGATGCAAAGTTTACGTCATGTAATCCACTCACGCGCGGGGTTGAGTGCCGACTGGTGACACGAAGAGAGTATTCAAGAAGCCTTACGACATCCTGCGTCAGCCATGGTGTCATTGTTAGGTCGGACTGTATAGAAAACACAGTCAATCGGCAACAGGTATAATCACCACCCCACTGCGTCACGTCCGCCATCGATCCAGCACCCTAGGTGCCTACATGGTCTCACACATGGTCTCCTTCATGGCCACAATTTGTGTTTGTGTGGCATCATCATCATCATTCCACTCTATCGATGGTCTCAACACGCGCACATTTGGCCACAGGGGAGGGAAGAGCACACCTTCATCAGTAAACCACCACTCCGGCTTGGACCTATCTTAGCTTGTTGAAACGCGCTGACCCGCGCGGGCAGGAACGAGCTTGAAAGCTCGGGCGTGCAAGTAGCCGGAGGCCGGAGGCCCCGTTCGTAGTATAAAACGACCACGCGCGATGTACGTACCGCACGCGATTGTCCCTTACGGGCATCGCTAGCCCAGTTGTTCCAACATAGCTGCCTTATAGGGATTAGTTAGCTTAACTAAGCAGACTGAGTGCAGTTAAGAGTAACTTAAGACAGAATTAAGGATGCATTCTGCCTTATTTTGTCTTAATTAAGACCTTTAAGCTTAGTAAGTCCACCTCAGCTAGAGTGATGGTTTCCTGATGTTATTGCCATTATCACTCAACCTGTCAGTTAGACCAAACACACATAAACTTTGTGCCTTGCGTCGCTCTGGGCACCTCAAACTGAGAACACAGATATCTCTCAAAATACTGATTGTATCACTTCGATTCTTGCTGCTGTCATGACTTGGGGTCAAGCGACAAGGAACAAACAAACACAAATGCTGGGGGCATTTGACTGGGTCTCACTGAAGTGATGGTGAGCGATGGTCAAACTGAAGGCTAGGGACAGGAAAATGTATTAGTTAGTGAGGTAAGAAAGAATACAAAGGAGGGCTTACTGACCTAGGGACAAGAGGTTGAAACTGAGGTCCCTAGGGCAGCAGAGGCCAGCTTTGTCACGACTTGAGGTCAAGCGACAGGGGAATATCTAAAGGCGAGGGGCGTTCGACTTGTTCTCACCGAAGTGATGGTGAGCGAGGCTCAAACCTAAGGCTAGGGACAAGAAAGTATATTAGTTAGTGTAAGTAAGTAAGCAGATACATGGGAGCTTACTGACCTAGGGACAAGAGGTCGAAACTGAGGTCCCTAGGGCAGCAGAGGCCGGCTTATATACATGAGGAGATTAGGGCAGGCTGTGCGCGCTGGTCCGTGCGCAGCTGGTCCGTGCGCAGCATGCTGACGCGGCCCTGGGGGCCGGTGAGTCAGAGAGGCTGTGTCAGCAGAGCCCGAGCTGTGCCGTGCACTGCCGTCCTATCTAATCAGATCGTACAGTAGATAGTGATGCGTCCATATCAGGCAAGTAGTACAGAGGTCGCGGGTTCGAGCCCGCGAAAAGGAAAAATTAAAAAACGGCTAGACACCGTACCAACTCGTGACATTACCCCCCCCTCAACGGCGCATGACCTCATGCGAGGCGCCCTTGCCCATCTCCCATCCGGAGCGGCATCGTGCTTCAGTCAGCGGCGAAGGCATTGGCTGGAAGTTGAGACCACCAAAGGTAGCAGCATTGAGGCGGCGAGGGGCGTTCAGATTCTTCCGGTGGAAGTCGGCTATGAGGGCCAGCGCATTGGCAACGTTGCGCGCCGGTTCCCATGACGTATGCGAGTCGTTATAACCCTTCCATTTGACGAGGTACTGCAGCTGACGCCGGAAGATCCGTGAATCCTTGATCCGCTCAACCTCGTACTCCTCGTCACCCTCAACCTCAATCACAGGCGGTTCCACTGGCTCCCGGCCCGGGATATCGCTACGCATGTACTTGCTCAGCAAGGAGACATGGAATACCGGGTGCACCGGCACCGACTTCGGCAGGACTAATTCATAATCCAAGTCTCCGAGCTTTTGCCGCACGGCATATGGTCCAAGGCGCTTGGGACTGAGCTTCTTGCTCGGCTGTTTTAGCTTAAGGTTCCGGGCATCAAGCCAGACCTTGTCCCCCGGCGCAAAGACCGGTGCCTGTTGCACGTGCTTATCATAGTACACTTTCATACGCTCGGCCGACAGCTCGAGCGCAGAGCGCGTATCGTCGCGAATCTCCTTCAGGATCTTGAGCCGATCAGCAGCCGCAGGCATCGCAGACATCGGATTGATCCGAACCTGGATCTCAGGATTGTACCCTTGATGCAGGAAGAAAGGGGAATGCCCGGTCGCGGAGTGAACTCGGTTGTTCAGTGTGAATTCCGCGAGCGGCAACTGCTTCGCCCAATCATCCTGCCTGTGGCTTGTGAAGGCACGCAGGTACTGCTCGATCTCCTGATTCCAGCGCTCAGTCTGGCCATCTGTCTGGGGGTGGAACACTGTGGACAGCGCCGGCTCGATCCCTAGTCCCTTGTACACCGCATGGAGATACTTCGAAGCGAACTGGGGACCTCGGTCTGATATGACTTTGGCCGGGGCCCCATGATGCTTGAACACATCGCGGATGTACAGGTCTGCCGCGCCTTCTGCCGTCAGGGTCTCATGACAGGCTGAGAAGTGGACCTGCTTGGTAAAGCGGTCGGCGGTAACCAGGATCGAGTCAAACCCATCGGACTTCGGCAGGCCGACGATCATATCGGTCGTGATGATCTGCCATGGGCGCTCGGGGATCTCATTCGGCTTCAGCGGACCCTGGGGCTTGGCTGGGAATGTCTTGGTACGGTTGCACACGTCGCAGGTGCTTACGTACTCATTGACAAACTTGGACATTCCCGGCCACCAGTAGTTCCGCGATACGAGCTCAAGGGTTTTGGCACGACCACCATGACCGGCGATCGGCGAGTCGTGGTGGATCTTGACTATATCCCGCCGGAGCTCCGCGTTCTTTGGGACATACACGCACCCGCGGAACAGCAGAAGCCCTTGTTCGGCATTCCACTCCTCAAAACCCCTTTGCAGCCGGGGCGGCCCAAGGTTCTGCACCTTTTCAAGTGCCTCGGCCACCTCCCAATCCTTCTCCGAACACTCCCTGATGCGTTTCAGAAGCGACTGATCGGCCGTCACCGAGGCATGACCGCGCCTGGCGGAGGCGATGTGGAAGCGCTCTGGCTTGAGAACCACCTGATCGGTGTTATCATCCTCATCGCCGATCTGATGGTCTGACCGACGAGACAGGGCATCAGCCTTTCCATTTGACGTCCCGGCCTTGTGCGTGATGCGGAAGTCGAAGCGAGCTAGGAACAGTGACCAGCGTGCTTGGCGACGTGTGAGATGCTGAGACGTGCGCCAGTACTTGAGGTTCTTGTGATCGGTGATGATCTTGAACTGATTGGGTAGGCCCTCGAGGTAGT